CTAACCCCTCTGCCTCTCTCCCAACTTCTCTCCCCCCAGCCTTAGTTTAAGCCATGCCACTGGTCCTCACATCCTGTACTCATAATTTAGGTTTTCCTCCATCTCGTCCACATGTCTGTTCAGGCTCAGTCCACAAGCCTATGTAATTAAGCCTCTAAAGTGGCAACCTGCTCCAAAAACATGGGCTCTGTTGGCCAGAAATACACAGTTTTAAACAGAGCTGCAATTTGTACTAATCCCCTAGACATCCACTAAACCACAACTATAATACAGAGTCTTAATCTGGACTATAAATCTCATGACGTTGGACACAGTAATCTCTCTCTATGGCAGGACCCCGGTGGACTGAAATGGTCCCTGGAACACTGTGTATGGGGAGTGGGGGGGTTTGTGCTTTCCTAGGTGGGTGGGTGAGTGAGTGTGCCTGCATGTTGTTTTTTTCTCTGCTTCCACAAAATAAAGTTTCCTTCCCTTGAAGTTACAGTACCTACATTATATTAATATGATTGCTATAGCTGCTGACTCCTAACAACGCTAGCTAACAATATAAGTTAATATAACAAGGGATACATATAATCAAGTCTATCTTTGATAAATATTATTTATCACATTATTATTATACCCAAAGTAGGCACAGTAGACCCACATGTCGACTGCAGTTACAACATAAAATGTCACGTTACCAATTTTTGTTTTAGTAGTATTTCCTGTTTTCTATGGAAACAATCATTGTCCCTTTTGCCCTAGAGGAGAAGCAAGCTTATTGGTCAGTGTCAGAGGTACCCTCCTCTCCTCTGTGAGTAGACCATTCCCTTCCATTCCGAATCGTCTGCATCAGACGAATCCTCCTCCTCTGGAAGTCCACATACTTCTATCTGATAACGTTCTGGTTTGAACACCAGCATTTCACTCATTTCCATTTCCAGCCTGAAAGTGGGTTGGTGAACTGCACCTCGGAGCATCCTTGTTGACAGGCCTGTAGTACTGTGGGTGTAGTACTTCTGTAAGCCTGACAGTGGGCTAGTCAGCAGGGCTCTTGGGGTTCCTAGGGCCCCTTGGGGACCTTGACGATGAACACCATGGAGTCTTTGGCCTTGTTGCTGAACGCCCGGCGAATCACGTCCACCGCATGCAGATGGGTCACACGCTGCAGAGACTCACCATCCACCGACACCAACTCATACCCAGCCTGGAGACGCACACACACAAAGAGAGAAACACACACACACACACAGACCATACACACACAAACAAAGATCGGTTAGAGGTGATACACAAACATAGGCCTACACATGCTTACTGTGCATTGATCTCGGCTCCCACTTAGCATCTTTTTCTCTAATCTCCATACTCATCCCAGTAGATGAATTACCCTCTTTCCCTCTTTCTTTGTCTCTCTTTGTCTCTCTCTCACACACACACATACTCAAGGTTTACCCTCAGCTAAAGGTTATGTTGAAAACACACACACACACCAACCACACGTAATGCCTCCCCCTGCATTGTTTCCTGCAGGATGAGAACAGAGTACTGCTGAGTTCTAGAACCCTGAGGAGAGGAAGTTCCTGTGATGTCATCAGTACACACCGAGGATGCACCTGGCTGACACTTACAACACAACCCCAATGAATGGCCACACACAATCACAAGGCCAGAGGTATGTGACACTACAAGGTCTCTTCTCTATCTTACCCAAACCAGGGCACCTGCTGGAACATCTCCCCTCATGAAACTGTTGTGTGACAAAATATTTGGTAGTGTTTGTTGACCCAAAACATTCCTGCCCTCCCTTCCGTGATGCCAGAATCAAAAGATTTCAATCCATTTAACTAAAGAGCAGATTAATAAAAGTAATTTTGAATATTAGATATAATCTCATTCATCCTCTTTGGTAAACATTTATGGATGTTATTTTTGGGGCTTCCTCTCTCTCTCTTTCTCTAGCCAACAGGCATCATCCACTAAATGTCATCCCTACTGAATTAGATCTCACTATTGTAATGTGGTTTGACATTACAAATACTGTATAAAAATTACAAATACTGTAGTTATTGTTATACTTTAAACCAATTCATGTGGATTATTCAGCTATGGGAATTGCTCTTAATTTCTAGGCAGTGGTGGTAGTGGATCACTGTGCAGACTCCAGGCCATATTTCTGGAGAGAGCAACACCAGAACACTAGGACAGGTTAAATGGTATAATCCTCTAATTTTTAGAGTACTAGTGAGTACACACCCTGCAAACAATGAGTTGTTAGGATGTCCCCAGGATGTCACAAAATGGTCTCCGAATGTCATCAGGATGTTGTTTCATGGTCCCCTAAATGTTTTGTCTAGTTCCCGGTTGGTCCCGAGAAGTCCCCAAGGAAGATTTTAGGACGTTCTTAGGATGTTGTGTCATGGTCCCATGGAGGTTTTTGTCTACTTCCCGGTTTGTCCCGTGGCCATCACCTGATGGTCCCAAAGAAACGTTGTCGTCCCCCATGCGCAAGCCAGTTTCACTACACATCACCCCTACACATCACTGTTACCAAGCCCATCAAGGCACTGATTGGTGAACCACAGTGCTTTCAACATACTATTTTCAACTTATATAACACACTTTGACATACATGATTACATTGTGTATGTTTATTACTACAGTAATTATTACTTAACATGTCCTCAACTAGGATTTGAACTCACAACCTCTTGGTGCATGGTATTCCGATTCAGGAGTAACATTAAAACAGAATAACATGCCCCACCAACATTAGACAATTATACCAAAAACCCAAACTCAAATTGCTGAAATAAGTAAATGAAATCAATGAGACAAATGTCAGATTAACTGATAACTAAAATAACAGTGCAAATGGCACTATTTTGCTAAGTGCAGATATGTATTATAGGTAATGAATGTGTAGGGGACTTCCAAACTTCTACAGACTTTGTGGTTCAGCATACCCCAAATCCAGAGATTGTGCGTTCAAATACCAGGTGTGGACGTATTGAAAAGTCAGTACTAAGCGATCATGTCATTGATAAAAGATTTTTACACTATTTTAGCTTAACAGCGTACCACTTACCTTAAAACCCCCATGCCATTTAATTACTTTAAGTATAATGGTTTGGGACACCTGGGACCATCACGTGACAAAAACGTCCAGGGGACCATGACACAACATCCCAAGAACGTTTAGGGGACCTTCAGGGGACCATGACACAACGTCCCAAGAACGTCCTAAAAACGTCCCGGGACAAACCGTGAACTACAAAAAGGTCCCCCAGAGAACGTTCCCTTGGGACCATCACGCGACGTCCTGAGGATTAGTAAAATGAAAGTCCTGAGAACGTCCTAGAAAGGTCCTGACATGGTCCTCAGTGACGTCCTGGGAACTTACAGGGAACTACACAAATGTCCCCCAGAAAACGTTCCCTTGGGACCATCACACAATGTCCTAAAGACTAGTTAAATAAAAGTCCTGGGAATGTCCTAAAAATATCCTGACATGGTCCTGACATGGCCCTCAGTGACATCCTGGTAACTTACAGGGAACTACACAAAGGTCTACCAGAGAACGATCATTTGGGCGTTCTTAGAACCTCCTCAGAACGTTAGTGGGATAGCGTCGCACCGAAACCCTTAAGGGACCTAAAGGGAATGTTGCCGAATGTCCTCAGGACATCCCTTGTTTGCTGGGCAGCAATCTTACTGAGCAGACTGGTGTTCTAATGTGGGTCTCAGCCAATAGCACAGATGAAAAGGATAGAGAGAGAGACAGAGAGTGAGAGAGAGACAGAGAGAGCGAGAGCAGTAACCAGCACATGGCACGGATATACACTGTACACACATACATTTACACACTTTGTGTCAACCATGCATACACACACACCTCACGTCTAGATGGGATACAGCTTTTGTCAAATTGATGTCAAAAGTTGATTTATTTTGCATTTTAGCTAACCCTAACCCTTTTCCTAAGGGTAATCTAATTATCCTAACCTGCTACGAAAATTCAATTTTGCCAAAAGCTGTATCCCTTCTAGACAAAACCGTCAAGCAGGGGCAGTAGCAAGCATGACATACACACACACATACACATATACACACACACACATACCTGGTGGCTAGCTAAAAGATAGGCGGTTATCAGACAGGAACAAGGGGACAGGATGTGTGTGAACAGTCGGAATGGTGTAGTAATCCTACTTCCCCCTGCTCTCAGTGTGTGGCAGATACACACCAGATAGGGACAGGCTATCAGGCTATGCCTAGGAGTTAGGGGGCTAGCGACGTGTCAGAGTACATAGAGCAAGCCAACCACGTCTAGCTCCGTCTATGTCTGTCTGTCTCTCCCTCTCTTTCCCAACCAATTCTCTCCCTCCTTGCCTTCCCTTCCTCTCCTTCACGAAGGTTTCTGTCGCGGTTTTGTGTACGTGCATGTCAGTGCGTGCAGGTGTGTGTGTGTGTGTGTGTGTGTGTGTGTGTGAGAGAGCGAGAGGGGGACTCGGAGGGGAAGTTCATGGAAACTGAAAGGCTTAGCCGACACCAGATCCCCAGAGTGTTTGACACTCGAGTCATGGCCCTATCGGACCTGGGAAGTGCTGTCACCTGATAGGATCACGGCAGCAACACACCCACAAACACACCTGATTCTGAAGCTTTGACCTAGTATCTAGAGGTCGCTACAGTAGGGCTGTCTCAGCCATCACCACCTTCACCTCACTGTAACCTCTGACCTCATCCCCCCACTTCATTCAGTATCTATTCCCTTCTGGTAATACACTCTGGCTAAGCCATATAGCCTGTACATTACCTGGCTCAGCCCATGTACCTCATCAGTCATGCAGGAGATGCACACACACACACACACACACACACTAGACCAAACTAGAGTGCCCTTTACAAATATCACAGACCAATACTGTTAAACACATCACCCTGTGTTATCGGGCTCAGCTCTGATTAAAGCACGAGCTGCCCTAATATTGCATTGAGCTCCTAAAGAAGCTTACCTTCAGAACGTCACTGGTAGAGGCAGCTCCTCCTGGAAAGATCTTCTCTATCTTGATCACAGGCTGCACCTTGGACTCCATCCCCCCTGAGATACTGATACCTGTAGAGCAGAGATGAGGAGTTTATCCACAAAGGGCCGGTGTAGGTGCAGGCGTTTGCTCCAGCCAATCAACTAATAATCATAGTCTTCAGTCAAGACTTAATTTATGTATTTATAGGGTATTTACAGTGCCTTCAGAAAGTATTCACAACCCTTGATTCTTTTGTTGTGTTACAGCCTGAATTTAAAATGGCGATTGTGTGTCACTGGCCTACACACAACACCCGATAATGTCAAAGTGGATTTATGTTTTTAGACGTCCAAGCTAACATATGGAATTGTTTTAAGATGGTCATACCAAGGATTATTTATTTATTTGATTTTTAATTTTAAGACTCCTTAAGGTCAGAAAAAATATATTAGAAAAATTATTGGATAAAACAATGAATTTGGCATTACTGCTATTAGCCAATAGAAACCATTGAATAACAGATTAAATATATGGAACAACAAATAGTAAAAAAACAAACGTCTAAAAGAGGTTTGTTCTGAAGTGTCTGTCCTATATCTGAGAGATATAAGAGAGATCAGGAAACTTTTTTTTTTCTTTTTTTTTAATTGTACATGTATTTATCCTTTTATTTTAGGCACTAAATTATCTCCATATATACTTCCATTAATTGTTTTAACTGGTACGGGGCACCTTCAGTTCAAGAGCAAAATGGAGAACACCATTGTGTTGGTGAGAGTCTCAGCTTTCCACAGAGGGGTCATATTAGTTTGTAGCCCAAACCGTTCAGACGCTACAGACAGAAGTTGGCAGAAGAGGCTGTACCGACTTCAGATGAGACCGTTTTCGTGAGAAGACCGATTTTCGTGACGTCTCATGGTCTGACAAACACCACTCTAGCTCTGCCACCTTTCACCGCAGATGCAGAAGGGCGATATCTCTAGCTTAAACAGACAGATTTTGATGGGGATGTTTTTACTATGCTAATTTATTTCCTCAGGGGTGTGGAAATTGTAGGCTAAGATGGATCAACAACATTGTAGTTACTCCACAATACTAACCTAAATGACAGCGTGAAAAGAAGGAAGCCTGTGCAGAATACAAATATTCCAAAACATGCATCCTGTTTGCAATAAGGCACTAAAGTAAAACTGCAAAAAATGTGGCAAAGAAATTAACTTTATGTCCTGAATACAAAGAGTTATGTTTGGGGCAAATCCAACACAACACATCACTAAGTACCACTCTTCATATTTTCAAGCACGGTGGTGGCTGCATTATGTTATGCGCATGATTGACATCTGCAAGGACTAGGGAGTTTTTAGGATAAAAATTAACGGAATAGAGCTAAGCACAGGCAATCCAATAAAAATATATGTAAAAAAACAACAACAAAAAATACAGTTGAATCAGATGTGTTACTTCCTGCATATACAGGGTTAGATTACCAACCATTGCTGTAGACTAGAGACACCCAGGGTAAACAGCCTTACTAGGAGTTATTTTAGACTGGGCCATTGTTATGTAATAACAATTAGCAGGTGATGCACTGATCTCTACTGGTGAGGTCGAGTACTAGCAGGCTACAGATTAGTTGGCGAATCTCTAATAGGCCTACTCACCCAGAGACTGTTTCGTCTTGGAGATGGTCACCGTGGTGATCTCATACTCCTGAACGGGTACAGGTGATGCATTTCCATGATGACCATTCTGCGACCGTCCTGGTGAAAGTCTGTTCACTTGTTTCCCATTCTCTCTCTGCCCTTGTCCCCCCCTCTCCCTCCCCGTCGAGGGGCTTCGGTCCCGCAGGGGGGGCTCAAGCACCTGAGCCAGGGCGGGTTGAATGTTCCTGGGGGGTACGTGTACTCTCACCTCCATGTACCCCTCGGCCATCCCTCCCCTCCTCTCAGTGCTGCTCTCCCATTGGTCCATCCTGACCCTTCCGTTATGTTTGTTCCTCACCGGCGACCGCCCCCGCTCCGCAGTGGTATCTTCCGACAGCAATGAGGTCTCATCATAGTGTTGGGGCCGGGACAAACCATTGTCTCGCCTATGGGGAGAGTGGTTGGTTTGGGGTTGGTGTCTGGTAGTGTGTGTGGACTCTGTGAGGAGCCAGTTGGGGGGTGAGGGGCTCGGAGAGCGTGAGCGGGGGTTGTGGTGGGTGTAGCTGTCCACGGGGACGTCTAGGAGGGGGGTGAAAACGCGAGAAGGGGGCAGGAGACCACCCTGGAGGCCAGACACACGTAGCCTCTCTAGGTCTTCCATCAGCTGACGATCTCTCCCCAAGTCCTGGGCTGTCTGAAGCTGGAAACCACCATGGTAGTCTGGAGAGGAGATATACACTACCGGTCAAAAGTTTTAGAACACCTACTCATTCAAGGGTTTTTCTTTATTTTTACTATTTCCTACATTGTAGAATAATAGTGAAGACATCAAAACTATGAAATAACACATATGGAATCATGTACTAACCAAACAAGTGTTAAAGGTATATTTTAGATTTGAGATTCTTCAAATAGCCACCCTTTGCCTTGATGACAGCTTTGCACTCTTGGCATTCTCTCAACCAGCTTCATCTGGAAGGCTTTTCCAACAGTCTTGAAGGAGTTCCCACATATACTGAGCACTTGTTGGCTGCTTTTCCTTCACTCTGCCGTCCGACTCATCCCAAACCATCTCAATTTGGTTGAGGTCGGGGGATTGTGGAGGCCAGGTCATCTGATGCAGCACTCCATCACTCTCCTTCTTGGTAAAATAGCCCTTACACAGCCTGGAGGTGTGTTGGGTCATTGTCCTGTTGAAAAACAAATTATAGTCCCACTAAGCCCAAAACAGATGGGATGGCATATCGCTGCAGAATGCTGTGGTAGACATGCTGGTTAAGTGTGCCTTGAATTCTAAATACATCACAGACAGTGTCACCAGCAAAGCACCCCCACACCATAACACCTCCTCCTCCATGCTTTACGGTGGGAAATACACATGCGGAAATCATCTGTTCACCCACACCGCGTCTCACAAAGATACGGCGGTTGGAACCAAAAATCTCAAATTTGGACTCATCAGACCAAAGGACAGATTTCCACCAGTCTAATGTCCATTGCTCATGTTTCTTGCCCCAAGCAAGTCTCTTATTCTTATTGGTGTCCTTTATTAGTGGTTTCTTTGCAGCATTTCGAGCATGAAGGCCTGATTCACACAGTCTCCTCTGAACAGTTGACGTTGAGATGTGTCTGTTACTTGAACTCTGTGAAGCATTTATTTGGGCTGCAATTTCTGATGCTGGTAACTCTAATGAACTTATCCTCTGCAGCAGAGGTAACTCTGGATCTTCCTTTCCTGTGGCGGTCCTCATGAGAGCCAGTTTCATCAAAGCGCTTGATGGTTTTTGCGACTGCAGTTGAAGAAACGTTCAAAGTTCTTGAAATGTTCTGTATTGACTGACCTTCATGTCTTAAAGTAATGATGGACTGTCGTTTCTCTTTGCTTATATGAGCTGTTCTTGCCATAATATGGACTTGGTATTTTACCAAATAAGACTATCTTCTGTATACCCCCCCTACCTTGTCACAACACAACTGATTGGCTCAAACGCATTAAGAAGGAAAGAAATTCCACAAATTGACTTTTAAGAAGGCACACCTGTTAATTGAAATGCATTCCAGGTGACTACCTCATGAAGCTGGTTGAGAGAATGCCAAGAGTGTGCAAAGCTGTCATCAAGGCAAAGGGTGGCTATTTTGAAGAATCTCAAATATCAAATATATTTTGATTTGTTTAACACTTTTTTGGTTACTACATGATTCCATATGTGTTATTTCATAGTTTTGATGTCTTCACTATTATTCTACAATGTAGACAATAGTAAAAAATAAAGAAAAATCCTGGCATGAGTAGGTGTGTCCAAACTTTTGACTGGTACTGTACATGTTATCACACACATATAAACACACACACACTCACTCCTTCCCTTTAACCCCAGTAGACCCACTGTATTGTACTATAGTTCTAAACCTTCCCAGCACTGGTCAACCCTCCGTGTTTGACAGTGACACTGTGTGGGAGTTTACAAAATGGAGTCTATTCACCACAAGGCCCAATCTGCATATCTCTATCTGAGGTCATCACCCTGACCTGTCAGAACTCTGTGTTTGACATGTCAGTTTCCTTCCTCCCTGGTGGAGTCAGCTGACCTTTCAACCCTTAACCCCTGACCTCTGTGTGCTAGATTAATGGGTCATTTAGTTCTGTGGCGGCAGCTCTGCTTTTTTTATTCTTGAATGGAGATAGTTTGAGAAGCTTTTAAGGTATGCACACACACACACATGCACTGTGTGTCTGACTCTTGAATTGGTCTAGTTTGTGAAAGGCTTCAAAGGCTCCATGCAGTCAACCCACGCCTGTCTATAACTTAGCACTGCTCCTCTCTGGCTTTTGTGTTTCTCACAGATACATAATACAAGCCTTCCTACTGAAGTCATCTGACACAGGCCTGTGTGTGTGTGTGTGTGTGTGTGTGTGTGTGTGTGTGTGTGTGTGTGTGTGTGTGTGTGTGTGTGTGTGTGTGTGTGTGTGTGTGTGTGTATGTGTGTTTGTGTTCAGGGGCTGGGCATAAGCGACATAAGCGGTGGATTAGGGCCCCCGGCTCAGTCTGGGTCTCAAGAGCTCAGTCGGTGTCTCAACTTACTGTTAAAAGTTATAGTATTAGAATACAGAAGGTGCAATTTCAAAATGTTGTTGTGCATCAGCCAATTTCCTCTTGTTATGTCAGTCACTGACAGTCACTCAATTAGCCATGTCAGCTAAAATTTTTAGTCAGTTAGTCTAGCTAGCTATCTAAACTAGCTAGCTATCTAAAAGCCGAATTATCAACCGGGCACGAAGAGCATGTGCCCATGGGCCTTGACCTCCTGGGGTCCCCCGTTGATTTTGGTAGTCACTCTCATGCAGATATCATATTAACATGGCATAAGTCATGGCAAAATGTGTAGAATTGCAGAAAATGTGCTTCACAACTGAACAATTTTGCTTTACCCCTTGCCAAAATGTGTAGAATTGCAGGAAATTAGCTGTAAAAGTGCGAATGTATCTTTCCGACCCATGGCAAAATGACTAAAATTGCAGCAAACTTGCTTAGAAACGACAACATTTTGTTTGCGCCTCATTGCAAAATGTGTAGAATTTCTGGAAATGAACTCTAAAACATACTTTATTTTCTCTCTGCCGTCAAGAGGGGGGCCACTAAAATGTTTTGCCTGTGAGGTGGGGGGCCCCCCAACTAAATTTTGTTTAGGGCCCCAAAAGGCTAGGGCCGGCCATGTATGTGTGCTGCATGTGTATGAAATGCCAGGATATTGAGCAGGTGTTTCAGTCAGACAGACAGGATATGAGATGGACTGGAAAAAGAGGGAGACGAGAGGAGATATGAAAAGAGGAGGAGAAGAAGAAGAGACAGGAAGAGAGGAGGAGGAGGAGGAGGAGGAGGATAATATCCTATTGGGATCAGGCAGAGGACAGCGGTTAGAGAAAGAGAACGGGTGAAGAGAGAGAGAGAGAGTTAGAGAGAGGGAGGGAGGGATGGGGGAATGAGAGGCCATCATACATACACACACACACAGACACACAGAGAGAGAGAGACCTGGTATGGGGGTGATGAGGTGTCGTCGAGGGGTTCCACTGCGAGGAGAGCGCAGGGCAGGAGACCTCACTGAGGACGAGAAAACAACAAAGATATGAACATATAATACTAGAATACAAAACATTTCCACCCCCCACACCCCCACCGCCCACAATGCGCCAACAACCAACAAAATGAACAAAAGAGAAAAAAATAGAAATACAAAGGAGAACAACAACAGAAAACAACAATGCAAAAAACAAAAGACATCAAGGACTGTTCAAAGTCTAAACAGCAAGGCAGACTGTATGCGTTTGAGTGCATGTGTGGCACTATTTACGTGTGTATGTGTGTGTGTGTCCGTGTGTGTGCACATGTGTGCGTTTGAATGCAAGTGTGTGTGTATGCATGTGTACAAGCGTACAAGCACCTGCGTGGCATCAGCCTCAGGCAAACAGGCATTGGATGTAACAGTGTTCCACCTCAGTGTCATTAAAAACTTATTTTTTTGGGGGGGGGTTATTTTGACTTTATTTTGACTTATCTTTGACCGTAAATCTATCCCCCGCCCAGCAACTCCACTCCCACTTCCCTCAGCCCATCCCACCTATCTCTGCTGGCCACCCTCTTCTGATTTCTATGCGCCATATATCTTTAAACTATGCTGTGATGTTTAACATACAATTTGAATGTATCCAATTGAACAGAATTGGGAGTTGAAGATACATACTTTTACTAAGAGTATTAATATATTAGTAATTGACTGACCAGGTCTCTCCAGATCTCCCAACAATGCTATTTCTAGGGTCAATTTTAGATTAATGTTATGCTTTTTTTTTGCCATTCCTGAAACTGAGACCAGAAACAGGCTACCTGAGGGCAATACCAGAACAAATGGTCTATTGATTCTGTATCCTCGCAACAAAATGTACAGCGCTGCGATGGTTGCATGCCCCAAATATTCAACATTTTGTTGGTGGCAAGAATTCTGTACAATAATTTTAGATGAAAAGCATGAAGTGTTGAATCTTGCGTTGTTTTATATATCAACTCATACACCCTGTGCCATGGAATTGGTACATCAAAAATCTCTTCCCAGCTATTTTGCAATCTGTATGGCACAGCTGTCAACATCCTGGTCCTCAAATGAAACTGGTATACTTTCCTATTTATGCTATTTTTGTTCCTCTGCCAGTTTTGATCCTTTATATTGGGCAGACAGACCAGTTCCCTACCTCCTCCCGCTGCCACCTGCCTCTTCTATAAGGAGTTAGCACTAGAGAAGAAACAGACTGGCGCCCAGGCTATGTTTGATGTACTTACATGAGCGGCTCTTCAGTATGTCGTAGGCCTCCAGTTCAAAGGGCATGACAATACTGTCAAAACAACCCAGCTCTGTAGGAGGGATCAGCATCCTGAAAAGAGACAGAGAGAGGCTTTGTGAGAGGAACTACACACACAGACACACACCTGATTTGTCATATCAGTAGGACTGACACACCATGGAATACATAAACCACACTAGCATAAGCATATAGCACACACATACACATAAACATCACACATGCAAACACACGCATGCACGGACACGCGCACACACCTGATCTCTCGTATAAGTAGTAGTTTCTCAGGTCGGTCCAGTATGGCC